ATATTAACTGGTTATTTTGCTCATTAGTTGATGCAGTTTCTTCCTAGCCTCGATGGTCTTTACATTTTGGCATGTTTTTTCAATGGCTGGTACCGGTTGTTCCTTTCCAAGTTTAGTGCTTCCTTCAGGGTCTCTTGTAAGGCAGGCCTAGTGGTGACAAAATCTCTAAGCATTTGCTTATCTGTAAAGGATTTTATTTCTCCTTCACTTATGAAACTTAGTTTGGCTGGATATGAAATTCTGGGTTGAAAATTCTTTTCTTTAAGAATGTTGAATATTGGCCCCCACTCTCTTCTGGCTTGTAGAGTTTCTGCTGAGAGATCTGCTGTTAGTCTGATGGGCTTCCCTTTGTGGGTAACCCGACTTTTCTCTCTGGCTGCCCTTAAGATTTTTTCCTTCATTTCAACTTTGGTGAATCTGGCAATTATGTGTCTTGGAGTTGCTCTTCTCGAGGAGTATTTTTGTGGCGTTCTCTGTATTTCCTGGATTTGAATGTTGGCCTGTCTTACTAGGTTGGGGAAGTTCTCCTGGATAATATCCTGAAGAGTGTTTTCCAACTTGGTTCCATTTTCCCCCTCACTTTCAGGCACCCCAATCAGACGTAGATTTGGTCTTTTTACATAATCCCATACTTCTTGCAGGCTTTGTTCATTTCTTTTTCTTCTTTTTTCTTTTGGTTTCTCTTCTCGCTTCATTTCGTTCATTTGATCCTCAATCGCTGATACTCTTTCTTCCAGTTGATCGAGTCGGTTACTGACTCGATCATTTGTCACGTATTTCTCACGTATTTCTCGTGTCATGGTTTTCATCTCTTTCATTTCGTTTATGACCTTCTCTGCATTAATTACTCTAGCCATCAATTCTTCCACTTTTTTTTCAAGATTTTTAGTTTCTTTGCGCTGGGTACGTAATTCCTCCTTTAGCTCTGAGAAGTTTGATGGACTGAAGCCTTCTTCTCTCATCTCGTCAAAGTCATTCTCCATCAAGCTTTGATCCGTTGCTGGCGATGAGCTGCGCTCCTTTGCCGGGGGAGATGCACTCTTATTTTTTGATTTTCCAGCTTTTCTGCCCTGCTTTTTCCCCATCTTTGTGGTTTTATCTGCCTCTGGTTTTTGATCATGATGGTGATGTACTGATGGGGTTTTGGTGTAGGTGTCCTTCCTCTTTGATAGTTTTCCTTCTAACAGTCAGGACCCTCAGCTGTAGGTCTGTTGGAGATTGCTTGAGGTCCACTCTGGACCCTGTTTGCCTGGGTGTCAGCAGCAGAGGCTGCAGAAGATACAATATTGCTGAACAGCGAGTGTACCTGTCTGATTCTTGCTTTGGAGGCTTCCTCTCAGGGGTGTACTCCACCCTGTGAGGTGTGGGGTGTCAGACTGCCCCTAGTGGGGGATGTCTCCCAGTTAGGCTACTCAGGGGTGAAGGACCCACTTGAGCAGGCAGTCTGTCCCTTCTCAGATCTCAACCTCCGTGTTGGGAGATCCACTGCTCTCTTCAAAGCTGTCAGACAGAGTCGTTTGCATCTGCAGAGGTTTCTGCTGCTTTTGTTGTTGTTTAGCTGTGCCCTGTCCCCAGAGGTGGAGTCTACAGAGACAGGCAGGTTTCCTTGAGCTGCTGTGAGCTCTACCCAGTTCGAGCTTCCCAGCGGCTTTGTTTACCTACTTAAGCCTCAGCAATGGTGGGTGCCCCTCCCCCAGCCTCGCTGCTGCCTTGGGGTTAGATCGCAGACTGCTATGCGAGCAATGAGGGAGGCTCCGTGGGCGTGGGACCCTCCCGGCCAGGTGTGGGATATAATCTCCTGGTGTGCCTGTTTGCTTAAAGCGCAGTATTGGGGTGAGAGTTACCCGATTTTCCATGTATTGTGTGTCTCAGTTCCCCTGGCTAGGAAAAGGGATTCCCTTTCCCCTTGCACTTCCCAGGTGAGGTGATGCCTCGCCCTGCTTCAGCTCTCGCTGGTCGGTCTGCAGCAGCTGACCAGCACCGATTGTCCCGCACTCCCTAGTGAGATGAATCCAGTACCTCAGTTGAAAATGCAGAAATCACTGGTCTTCTGTGTCGCTCGAGCTGTGAGTTGGAGACTGGAGCTGTTCCTATTCGGCCATCTTGCTCCGCCCCCCGTATCGATTTGAGCTCTTTTAGTGGTTCCATATGAATTTTAGGATAGTTTTTTTCTAATTCAGTGAAAAATGTCATTAGTTGTTTGATAGGAAAAGCATTGAATCTGTAAATTGCTTTGGGTAGGGTGGCCATTTTAACATATTGATTTTTTCTGTACATGAGTATGGAATGTTTTTCCATTTTTTTGTGTCATCTCTGATTTTTTTCAACACTACAACTGAGATATTATGAAAGAGATCATCATTTAGGGTTTAAATCTGCTGTGTATAAAATTTCAGGTAGTTTTTGGGTAGGTATATATACACATTACTTGACTGGCTCATTTAGCACACATTTATTTTTAAATATATGTATATCCTGTATACTTTTTCTATATATTAAAAAATAATAAAGTATTTCTTCTTTGAATGTATCAAAAACATTTGGATAAATGATTTTATGAACACGGGTTGAAATATCCTGTTTGTATCACCCGGTAGGCACAATCATTGTCTTTGTTCTTCCTATATATTAGCCACTCCCAATTATTGCTCTGTATTAGGTGTACAAGTAAATCAGTGTTATTTTCTAGGAAACAGTTGTTTTTACTGAATTTAGAAATTAGAGCTTGCCTTCTGCCAAATGAAAAGCGGATTTATTGCTATTGTTTTTTAGCACACACACTCTCCTCCAAGGTAAAACACTGATCTAAAATTTCATAATGATTGCTGAATAGTTTGAAAGTTTTTTCTTTATGGATCCCAACTTGTCACAAGAAATGAGTCATCTATTATAATATCTAGAATATTGAATTATTAAGCATCCATGCAGATAATTACTGGTAAAATTTATTATTCAAAATTTTTAAAAGTATCTTAGGTTCACATATTTGAAATGCTTTGAAATTTACAAAACTAATATACATATATTATTTCCTTCAAACCACACAACAAACATAAGGATATGTTATTGTCTTTAATTTATCAAAGAGGATAAAAATTAACTCATTACATGACTTGCCATGACCCTGTTAATTCCAGGAGAACTCTTACTATTATCAGGACAGGGAACACTGGCATATGGTAAGTGGACAACTAAAAAATATTTGCCAAAATAAATTATTAAATATCATACAGCCAGAATCAGAAGCCTAATTCAAACCTCCTAAATTTAATATATTTCTCTACCACATCAGACTAACTTTATTATTTTTCCCTTGTTTAACTTTAAGAGAGGCATATATTCAAATAATGTTAATTAAGATTGTCACTGTAGCTCACCCACCATTTGAGCACAGAGCTGAAGTGTCGACATTGCACAAATTAAAGTCCGTTCAATTCAACAGTACTGAGTGTCTATGATACAGGGACAATGTACTAAACACTGAAAATGTGAAGATGAGTGAGACATCTGTGTTCTCAAGAAAATTGTAAACTAATAACTGGGAGAGAATGTAAGTGCAATTTAAATGGTTAAGTACTGTGATCAAAGTGTGGTAGCTAAAAAGTCAAGTATGGGCATCTATGCCAAGACTGAAATGAATAACAGTAGTGCAGTAATCAAGATGTGCTAGAGTATGCTGAAATAACAAAAAGCACAAAAACCTCAGAACAAACTTTATTTCTTGCTACTGCTACATGACCAACGTATGTCAGTTCTGGGTTCTTTACTGGGTTCTAGGTTCTTCCTTGATTTCACTTTAGGATCTAAGCTGATGGATCACCCCCAGTTTTGAACATTATTGGCTGGCCAGAGGGTAGGGTGGCTAAAGGGGTCTGGAAGTTTTCCCATTAGCCATTGAACATCATTTCTACCTATGAATCATTCATCAGAAATGTCACATGGACACACCTAAGCAGAAGAGGGCCAGAAAGTACAACCCTATCATGTCCAAGGAAGGCAGAGAACTATTTCACCAACCATGCTAATGACTACTACAAAGACTAAAATAGGAATCAATACATTCTAAGTAGTGTTTAATGCAGTGAAGCACATGTTCTAATCCTGCATATGGCTCAAATATTTAAATTAGAGTTACTTCTAAAATATGCCTCTTGCTTTAGCCCTTTAAATTATACCCTCTCATTCATGGTATATCGAAAATAGAAAAAATTCACAAGCTCTAAATGCATATAGATGCCTGCATATGGGAATTGAGGAAACTAGGGATCTCTAATCAGGCACTTCCCCTGCCAGAACCACTGTGTTTACAGTGCCAGCTTTACTTAGCTGAAAGTCTTTCTTACCCACTACACTAAAGGACTTCAGTTGGCTTTCTGTTCCAAAGCAGCAATAAATAAACAGTATAGCCCTGTTATTATTTAGCGCTTCCAGTTCTCACAGCCGGAAAGTTACAGCCAGTAAGCAGGCGATCTCCAGGAAAGTTAAGTAAACAAAGTTTGGAGGGCAATAATATCATAGTTCCTACAGAAGTAAGAGAAGCTATGCATGAGGAAGAGCTGTGATCATGGCACAGATTGGAGACCGTGGGTCCTCCTGTGACAGACACTGCTGTAGGAAGACAATTAATACATTTTTGCTGATAATGATCAGAAGGAGAGGAGCCTGTGGAGTTTGTGTACGAGCTCGCGGCTCTCCTAACCGTGGAATCCGTATTCCAAGCCACAATAAATGTCAGATATTTTTATTGAATGACAGTGCTGTCCAAACACTATGGAGCTAACTGTAGTTGATTTCTCTTTGTTTTATTTTTCAAACACTTGATAAAATGCTTGTTTTTGAAAATGTTCTGGACTGCTAAAGAAATAAAAATTAAATCCAAAACCAGAAACTAAAACTCATACATAATAGATTTATTCATTATAAAGATGGTTAGATATACGTAGGCCAGAGAAAGAGTTCTACTAATTTTTTTTCTTTCACTTAAAAATCTACTCTTCTAGATGGAGATGGTCAACGGGTTACCACCAGTCTGTTTCTTGCACTGATAATTTTTCTAGACATTAAATCTCTCCATCTGTTCCCAATAGAAAAAGAAAGACAGGACCACCAGACTCTTCAGGGTACGTGGACTCTGCTTATTTTAATTCCCTATAATATATAAGTGCACAAGACTCTGACAGCGTTAAACTCTGCAGTCTCCAGCATGTTGATTTTGCTACGCTATATATTTAATTTTCTTTTAAAAATGTATCGTATTTCTCTGAGCATTCATTTGCTTTTCAAATTATGGCTGCCTAGCTGAGGCTTGTGTACCAGGTGCCATGTAAAAGCATGTTAAAAGTAGATAAAAGCAATTTACCCTGCCCTCTAATTAGAGATGTCTCATCTTTACTACCGACAATAGCAGTATGCAGCTGTGGCAGTGGAGAGATAATGGGAGCTGGAGTGGGGAGAAATGGAAGATATGCTGGCTGAGGCAGAGTGTCACCTCTCCATTGCTCAGCTTGGGTAGGCTTCAGAATGAAGACAGATTTTTAGTATTTCTTCTTTCCTAGCTCTGTTCATTTATTTTACATTAATAATTGAGCTTTTTAAAAAAGGGAGTATGTAGGGGTGGGGAAGCAGATTATAGGGGGAAAGACTGGGATTTTCTTAATGACTCATTATATGGAATTTATTGTTGCCTAATTCTATAGCTCCTCTACCAATTAACATTTGTTGGGTGCACATCACTGCACTTAATATCATAAGGTTTAAAGTGGAGAAAACACACTACTTGCCCCTGGAGTTTGCAATTTAGAAGGGTTCTTCTTCATAGAGATAATATTTGGAATGTTATAATCATGCACAGAGAAAAGATAAACCTAAAATATGGTCATCTTGGATTATACATGTTCAGACTAGGCTGTTTAGAATGAGTAAATGTTGAGAATAGCTTTGGTGAAAGAATCATTCTGAGTGAGGGACACAGAATAAACCATCATTCCAGGGAATGTACCACGACTGGAGGTAGTAGGTAGCAGCGTATGTAAGAACTGTTGAGGCCAGTTCTACTGAAGGGGAAGAACGATTCACAAAGGAACTTAAGTGTTGAGAGTACGCTAAAATGGCAATGTAAATTTAATACAATCACATGAATTGATTTGATTTAACTTGAATTTGAGAAAACATACACTGGTGAATGTATGTTGATTGTATTGGAGGAGAGGTAAGTGTATATAAAGAAAAATTTAGCAATTTCTGAATGCTGATTAGTATGAGAAATTATGCTACAAATGAGAGCATATAGAGACTAAAATGTGTAGTAATTTGGTGTGGCCTAGAGTGGTTGCTGTAGAAATGGAGATGAAGAAAGATTAAACTTAAGTAATGTGGTAGGTAAAGAACTGGCCTGTAAGACTTGATGAATTTGAAAGAATAAAGGTATCAAAATACATTTATCAGGCAAGAATAGGGACAATAAAGAAATAAGTACAATCTGCAGCAAACATTTGTACAAGAAAGTAATGATTTCATTGCTTCACACTTTAAGGAGCATCAATGGGGGTTGAAATATAAGATTGAAAAGATGTTAAGCAATCAAGGCTGGAGTGTAGATTTAGGAATTGTTTTACTAGTGGTAGTAGTTGGAGCAGAACAAACTGATGAATTCTTTATAAGTAAGAATAAAAGTACGAAACATTTTATTTTATAGAATGAAATTTCAGGAAGTGGGAAAAATATGTGGAATGATGAAAAACAAGAACTTGAAATCAAGTAGGGGGTAACCACCAGTGCCAAATGCTGAAGCAACTCCAATGGAGGAGAGCTTCAAGAAGAAAAGTGTTTCCATAAAGAAAAGAAGAAAAGATTTTCTTAGAAGTAGAACATTGGTGAATCCCTTCAGCAGAGTGGTAGCAATGGAAGCCAAGTTGAGAGGATTAAGGAAGGACAAGACAGTAAAGAGAAGTGGCAGCAAAATGCTCAATCATTAAATGCAAGGAAAAAATAGACTGATAGTAGAAGGAAGTGTTAGTATCATCAACTTAGTAATTTAAATAAAGCTTAGGGAAATCTGAACATTTACATTTTTTAGCAGGAATTAACCATGCAAGAGTGAAATGCTAGAGGGTGGAATAAAAGTGAAATATATGTGTGTGTGTATTTCATGTATATGTTTGTATAACCTTGGGAAATACACATCTAGTCTGGGGAGAAAAGCCTGTTCATTCAGATATGGCATCAGAATGATCTTAGAAAAGATAATTTAATTTTGTTTCTCAAAATAACATATGGATTTATATTGGTTCTGCTGTGATATCCCTCAGAACATTGCTAGGATGCAGTAAGAGTTTACAAAAAGAACTGTGTTGCTCTGCATAATATGTATTTTTTCATTTCTGTAGGAATCCAAGAGGAAGAAGGGAAGGATTCCAGAAATGGAGAGAAGCTGGACTCTAGGGATGGATCTGGGGATGCTCCACAAAGAGCAGCTGTGGAGGATGCAGAAGAGTTGGCTAGTGGGACATTCCCACTGAGGAGCGTGGCAGGGGGAATGTCTAATATTCACTAAGAAAATGCTTGAAATGTAACGTTTAAATGAAGCTCCTCAAGTTTCCTTAAAATACAAATTCATGACTCTCTCTTTCTCTCTCTCTTTCTCTCTCTGTCTTTGGTATGTTAAAGTAATCAAGGAAAGGGATTTTGTTTTATAACTGGGTTACACAGGGGAGAGACCAGAATAGCTGAAAGCTGTGAGACATGAAGAAAATTCAAGATTTAGGAGACATGCAGAACATCAGTGTCTAGGCAAAATGGCAGACTGACCAACCCCCACACACTGAATCCCTAGAGATACTAGGACAGGGATATTGAGAAAAATTTACCCTTAAATTGTAAAGGACAAGGCAACTCAGCATATTGAATGCCTTGCTGGCAAACAGGGGCTAATATTTGGGATGCATATTGGGCATAGATACACAGAAAATAATTTATCAGTGACATTAATAATATGACATCTCTTTGTTGAGCATGTACTGCTGTCTTAATATCACAATTCTAAGGGGTCAACATCCAGACTAAGCTTCTTATTTGCGAGGCTACATTTTTCTTAGAAAAAATGCATATCTGAAATGGAATATTGATTTTTTTTCCTGGATCATACATAAAGACCATCAGAAATTAATTTTTGATAAAACACTGCTATACTCATTAGAGACATATTTTAATTAGATTAATTTTGCCTTAACAGTCCATGAGAAGTTACAAGTAACTTGCAATGAGACATTAACATGCATCATTCTTGATATAAGTAAAAATTGAAATGATTAGAAGCATACAAATGTAAAGTATGTTGCTGGTATATGCAAGCTCAAAAAACTTTTACCTGATAGAATTAGCAAGAGCAGCTATGTTGAGCTTCTTTCAGTTAAAAGTCATTTTTGGCTATGTCTCTCTAAGGATAGAAATATCACTGCTTTTGATCTCATTTAGAATTCTGCTCACTTTTAGGAAAGTGGGGCTGTTTGGAAATGGTCAGCCATATCCTTACTGAATTTCCTAGGACTTGACTGCACCCATTCTAGTTAGCAAGTAAGATATAATTATATATTGTATTATGACTTCTCAAAGAACTTATATTTTAATTTTCCTTCTTTTATGTTCATTATCTTCATTTGGACTACTCCACGTGACAAAAGCAGTTATTTTTCTTCTATCCCCTAAACTGGACCACATAAATGCTCTTAGTTCCAAATCATATTCTTTAAGAAACAAGTGTTCACTGAATGATTTACTGCTTTATGTAATAGGTACTATACAAGATACATGAGGCCCCCCACACCCTGAAAACAGATGTTTCTTCCTGGAGCTTGCAAAATAGGAGAGAAACTTTTAATTTACCCTTTCTCAGTAAACCGTTATACAAAACAGAAGTGAAATTGTGGATCCATTGAACTCAATCTGGCTGACTTGTGACCTCTACGTGTTCATAAACCCACTGAAATATATAACTTGTTGTTTATATTAAATATGCACCCAAGCATGATTAGATAAACATTGAAAGTATATTTTAATTTTAACCATCAGTGGAAGTATATGGGGTGATTTAAGTCGTTCATATTAGTTTATTTTTATCAGGTGTTCCTCTTTGTCCATAGTGAAATACAATACAGAGATTATAGCCTATGGCTTGACAGGATATCTTATAGTTGGTAACAGGACTAAATTAAAAGGAACAAAAGGAAAAAAAAATAAATGAGGATGTCTAATTTTAAGATAAAGAAAGAAAATTCACTCACTCTTCCAGGATAGCATCAGAGACAACGTTAGAACCAAGAGTCTCAAAACCTTGCCTTGGATGGTTTGCGTGATGCTATGATTAAAGAAAAGGGGGTGGGGAACTAAGAGAGGAAGCCAAAGAGAAATAATTCAGTACCTAACAGCAATATTCAGATATTTTATTAAAGAAAAGGAGGTTTTGACCTTGCTGGTGAATAAAGGTGATCCGAAACATTTGCCAGATACAATTAAGGCCATAAGGCAATAATTACAAAAGTCAAGGAGCCCTTGCCATCTCCAAAGCATCATGTGCGGATGCAGGAACCATTATTAAGATCATGGGTAGTCAAGGAGAAAGCAGATACAATAAAGCTGTACCCAGCAATACAAAGGGACATACAAGTGGGTGTTGAACTTAGGGAAAAAGGCTCCCCATGACCTCAAGAAACGTTTCTGGATCTGAGATATCCATTAGCACATTTAGAAGGTACCTATTTCCATTATTGTGAAGGAGTTGTAAATGAAATAAACAACTTTAAATAATACCTCCCTTGGTCAAACTGGATCAAGTATTCCCTGATGGAATTCATTCATCATCATTCAAACAGAATGGTTTGCAACTCAACCTGCCTAGTGTGGGGTCTGGAATTCCCACCACAGTCACTGTGCCTTAAGCACTGTTGCAGCAGAAGGACTTGAAGTAACACATGAATATATAATGCCAATTTGCATGTCAGCATGGATTGTTGAAATTGAAGTTAGTTAATTGTCACATTGTAACAGGAAAAGAATCCAAGTTTTGGAGCTGGGTGGAACTGAGCTTTCATCTTCTTTCTCTGCTACTTAACTATGTTATCCTGAACAAGATACTCAACCTCCATGAGACACAGTGACCATGTAAAATATATATATAAAATGCCTGGCAAGCATCTGACTCATGTAGGTACCCAAAATTTGATCACTTTCACTTTCTTTTGCTTCCTTGGAAGTTTAAAACAAAATTCTGAGGTAAGTTTCAATTAAAGTGGGTCAGGCAGACTGATTCCAGCAAGGTCAAAGCATCTCCTTTTCTTTAATAAAATATCTGAATATCTGAACAAGAAACAACTTCTGTTTTTCAAGGTTGAAATGATGAATTATTGAACTTTCATTGCTGTTTGTTTTCTCTCTTACCTCCTAACTACTACATATAAATGAGATATCTTGGTTTCCCACTGATATCTCAAATTCAGTGTTTCCCAAATAAAACATAATCTTTTCCAATAAAAAAGCTCTTTCTCATAAGTTCTCCATGGCTATTAATGGACCAACAGTCTTTCAGTTCTCTACCATATCCAAACATAAGTTAAAATAGAGTCACAGTGATTGTGTTTGTGATGGTGGATGGAGCAAGTTCCAGTATTCACCATCCTCTAGGGAAAAATTGAGAATGTGTGAGATTTTTGGGTTATCACAATCGCTGGAAGATGCTATTCAAATTTAGTGGATATGGACCAGAGATGCTAACATACCTGCATTGCTAAGAACAGTCCTTAACACTGAAGAATTGGGAGCCCCAAATGTCACTGGAAGCCCCACTGGGAAATGCAAACAGAATCCACCCTCTTCAAATGCCTATTCTTATTTTCTACTTTCATTACTATTTCCGTTCTATCAGTCCAGGCTCTGCATTACCTTGAATCATAGCATGTTATTGTTGGAGAGAACTTTAAGGTCATCCACATCATGGAACTGAGGCCAAAAGGTTAGTGAACTGGTCTAAGTTATATAACTACTTGGTTACAAAGTTTGACCTCACATCTGTTACCCTAGTAGACTTGCCTAAGATTATAATATTATCGAACCGTGCTCCACGTTCAAATTCATCCTTTACAGGACAGAGCTGACCACTAAATCTTAAAGAACCACTCCCACGGTATCATTTTTCTACCCATAACAGCCCCCCATGTTTTCCCATTGCCTAGTAAGTACACATTCCTCAGCCTGGCATCCTAGACCACCCATGTTCTGGGCCAACCAGGCCTTTTACTGGTATTCCACCCTACTCTCCTTCTGCCTTTTTTGAGTGACAAACTGTCCCCCTGGCTAACTCCCAAGCACATATTGGGCATTTATATCTTCCCTCAAGCTGTTCCCTTTGCCTAAAATATTCTCCACATTCTTTCCCTGTCAAATCTCTACTGACATTCAAATGTCTCCTCTCCATGAAACTTAAAAAAAAATTTCCTCAACCTGAAATGTTCTTTTTCTCTTTATCACCTTTAATACTTTAAAGTTGTTACTGGAATTACTATGGTTTGCTAGGCACTATAGCTATTTGAATATTTTGTTGTTTTTGAGGACAGAGACCAGCTAATATGCATAACATTAGCTGTATGATACTTTGCACATATAAGGTGCACAGTAAAAAGTTTGGAGATAGACACACAAAAGATCTAGCAGCAAATCTGGGAGAAAAAAAAATCAGAAGACAAGACAAAGCTTTCTGCTCTTAATTGTTCACCCAGGGAAAGCTTTAAAGCACTTCTCTTCACACTCTCTTCAAGACTCCTTTTAGCATTATAATGGAAATTCATTGGAAATGTGTTTCAGTTTAAACAACAACAACAAAGAAACAGAAGGGAATGACATCATTCTTGTTCTTTCTGTTGCCCTTAATGAAAGTTTCATTTATCTTTGTCATCAAACCTATGCTGTCAGCAGTAAGGATGGAAGCTTCATTAATAAAAATCAGAGTAAGCCTTCTACTTTGTAGATGAAAATTCCTATATCAAACTGCAACTAACAGCCCGGAGAACTAATATGTAATCTAAAATGGGCACAACCAGTTGATTTAGAATTTGGTTTAGAACCGCAATTGTGGAAGCACAAATCTTTTTTTAAACAAAAGCAGAAGAGGGTCTCACTCTGTCACCCAGGCTGGCATGTAGTGGCATGCTTATAGCCCACGGCGGCCTCTAACTTCTCAAGCAGTCCTCCCACCTCAGCCTCCTGAGTTGGCCAAATCTTTATAACATTTTTCTAACTATTCACCACTGTACAATCTGAAGCTCAGCTAAAAAATTACCGATACCGTAGTGCTGGGGAGCAGAATCTAGCCTTCCTGACACTGGCCACTCAGTTCCAAGTGAAATGCTTGGTACATGTAAGTATATAATTATATGTACATATCATATATCATATATAATACATATATAAAGAGTATATAAGTATGTAACATTTTGGTCTGTGTGTGTGTTAAGAGTAATTCTGGACATGTCTTCTACATAGCTATACATTTTCTTAATCACATGATTAATTAGGTCAAGTATAAATAAACTAAACTATATGGCCAGAATTTTAGGGTTTAAGAAGAGGATCAAATAAACAAAAATATGCAAAACGCCTAGAGTTCAAATTAGAAGAACAAATTTTTTTTTTCTTTTTTTTTTTTTCTTTTGAGACAGTCTCACTCTTTGGCCAGGCTGGAGTGCAGAGGTGCCATCTCAGCTCACTGCAACCTCCACCTCCTGGGTTCAAGTGATTCTCACGCCTCAGCCTCCGGAGTGGCTGGGATTACAGGCACGTGCCACCATACCCAGCTAATTTTTGTATTTTTAGTAGAAACGGGGTTTCATCATGTTGGCCAGGATGGTCTCGATCTCCTGACCTCGTGATCTATGCACCCCGGCCTCCCAAAGTGCTGGGATACAGGCATGAGCCACTGCACCCAGTCCGAAGAAAGAATCTTAATCTTTAAATCATGAAGCTAAGTAGTCCATTGTTTTATACTAATCTTTTAATATTGGTAATGCACAAAAATAAAGTGTCTGTGCCACAATTAAAAGTTTCTCAAAAGTTATTAGAATTTTTGTACAACGAAACTTTTTTGTACTACTTGAACTAAAGTTATCTCATTTTTACGTAGTTGATTAGATTGTCATTTTTAGACCAGAGAGTAATTTTATAAAGGTGTTTTCTCTGAATTGAGAATAGAATAGAAGAATTAGTTTTTTAGAGCTGAAAGGATGTGATAAAAGGTAATCATTATACTATGCTGTAATTTAATTTTTTCCAACAAAAAATTACACATCCACTTTTACAAAGTTATGGCACAAACCCAAAAGCTGTATTCTTTCAATATGCAATTTATAATAATTCATGCTACTAGGTTTGCTGTCCAACTTTAGATATATGAAAGATAATGTTATACCCATGTCATTATATACATTATGTCTTAAGATATTAGGTTGCATTATAGTATATCCTATCATATTTAAATAGAGTTAAACAGTAAATAGGCAATTCAAAAAATTATTCAGTAGTTCATTAATAGCTTATATTATTTCCTGCAAATTCCTTTTTTTGGTAGAAAAAGGGCATGCCATTTCTCTGCTGGATGCTCCTTCAAGTCATGTTTACTGTAACCAGGAGATGAAATTTCCAAACAAACCCTGGTGTTTACAGCACTTGGAGAGGCATGTGGCCTGCCATTCCAGTCTCTGACAAGCATGTGCCCCACCTGCTTTTTGCTTTGGCTTAACAAGTTAGTTGGGCCACAACACAAGTGTGAGAACATGAGAATGTGAGATGCCACAGGCCAGGTGACATGCCAGTGCTGAAAAGCTGGTACATGGCAGGGTATCATTGTGTACATAGAAAGGCCACATGCCACCCCAAAATGTAGCAGCCACTTCTCCCAAATTAGATGAATAATTTTCCTTCCATTATGTTCTCACAAACATGTTGTAAAACAATGAGCCTTGAGCTACACTAAGTCCAAAAGTTCAGGGTTTCAAATGAGTGACAAGTGAATATTCATGTTTATTTCTGAGTTGATTGACAGGTAGAATTTTTTTTTAACTGTGCTTATGCATGATTTGAAACATACTATTTTAAGGCAACAAAAATTCTTCTCATAGGTATGAGTCTTCTGAGATGGCCAAAAGCTACAGAGCAGCAAATAACATTTTCTTATTTGTCTAATATAGCAGGAGAGAAGTTACTAGAATAAATGGCCCAGAATCTCACACAGTGCTTCCTAGTTTTCTCTGAGTTTCATACTTCTGTGTGTGATCACCAGGCCTACGCTACTAATGCAACTGCAGTTGAATTCATTTCAAGTGTTGGCAGGAAAGGATAAGGAAAAAAAATTACATTTTAAAAATTCTGTTGGGTCTAGTATGGGATACAGAATTCATAAATGTGTAGTGTCAGGTAACCCAAGGTATTTTCTAAGTTTTGACTCTACTGCTGAGTAAGTAGATGAACATAAAAGTTGAATAAAAGTTCTATATTCTCTTCCTCTTAACGATGGAAGACTCGATCTAAGGCCAAAATACTTCCAAAATTTTTGAAGAATTACCAATGAGAATTTCTTTCTTAAGAATTAGCAGAAATCCTGAAAGAATATGAAGGGCTTTTGTCTCTGCTTTCCAAATTGTAAGCAAGAAAATAATTGTGGAATTTGGGAAAATTAGCATTTTTTTCCTAGCATGATATATTTTCAAACTTACAGTTTTTAAAAGAAGAAAAATTGTTTTTCATCTGTTTAACCACAAACCATGAGTTTTCAAGGAGCTGCATCAATCTATTTATATCCTTTGTCATGGATTTCACATAATGGCAGAAGGGAATCAAACACAGGTTTTAAGAAACCAAAAATTGTATGAATATGTGGAAAGCCGTATGATTTCAGTCTGTAATTTAGATTTACATCCTATAGTTCTTGGCTTTTACAAGTGCTTCCTGACTTTCCTAAAATAATTCCCCAGGTTTCAATGTGGGATGGAGAATACCCTGCAGCACCATAGTCCAGTTTTAGATTAATGGACTGCTGGCGTAGTTTGCTACAGCCAAGCATTGTTCACCTTCGCTGGGAACACGGCATCTTCATCGTTTATATAAAAGAGAGACCACTGAAACTGTGCTATGCTTTTAATGTTATGTTGCCTAATAAAGGTATTTTGAGTTTATTTATTCCCTTTCTGTTTGCTGAGTAAATTATTGCTTGTGAAAGGTTATGCTTCTCCAGAGAGCATTAGAAATGAAGTCCCAGTTCTTTTTACCCAATGTCTGGGTAATTTCCAACATCTTTTAAGCCTGGAGTTCTAATAAGAATGTTATCCTTTGAAACAGTCGGCTAAAATAGAGATTTAAAGCTCAGGTGCTGCCTCTTGATGAACACATGGACTGAGAAGACAGAGAGGGGAATCCTGAGACCACGTGGAGACAGTTTCCCCTTACAGCTCAGGTATTAGCATTCAATGGAGTGTGGGTGAAGCCTTAGGAGACAAAGTATGATTTTTAATGCTGGATCTCCAAGCGTATATATATTCAGTATACATATATACACACACACATATATATATTTTCAG